TTGGCTACAGCCTGATCAAAAATTGCGTGAGCCATCAAAAATAGATAAATATATCTCCACAGAAATACCAGATCCGGAAAAGAATTTATTAGAACATAATGTTGTTGCTGAATTTATGATTCATGGACCATGTGGTATAGCCAAAACAAAAGCTCCATGCATGAAAAATTCACAATGCTAAAAAAAGTTTCCAAACAATTAAGAAATGAAACAATTATCCAAGAGAATGGAATTGTGGATTATAAACGAAGAAATACAGTTTTTTTGTGTACAAAAAGAAGGCATAAAATTAGATAATAGATACATAGTTCCCTACAATAAAGATCTATGCATGAAATTCCATGCTCACATCAATGTAGAAATTTGTACACAATCTATGCTCATAAAATATTTACTTAAATATTTAACAAAAGGATCAGATAGAATAAGAGCTGTTATAGAAGACAACATATGTACAGAAAAATCTGGACAAATTATTTATCAAGAGATCGATGAAATAAAAAATTATATCAATTGCAGATATATAACGCCATATGAAGCAATGTGGCGTTTATACAAATATCCTGTACATCATAGAAATCCTGTTGCTCAACGATTATCAATACATTTACCAAAATCACAAAATATAACATTTCATTCAAATCAACATCTCAATAACATAATAAGACAACCTGGTATTCATAAAACAACTCTTACTGAATGGATGGAAACTAATAAGCATGATATCAATGCTAGAGAATTATCTTATATTGAATTTCCAAGTAAATATGTTTGGAATAATAAATACAAATATTGGTCCCCAAGACAAGCAGGACATACAATTGGATGAACCTTTTATATACATCCAAATACTGGAGAATTATACTATTTAAAACTATTATTGAATCATCGAAAAGCAATAACAAATTATGAAGAACTTCGAACAGTTGACTATATAATATATCCAACAAACTAGGCCGCCTGCTATGCACTAGGCTTATTAGGAAATGATAGAAGCTGCATTTTGGTCAACATCAATCCAATTACGACAACTATTTGTCACAATTTTACTATTTTGTAATGTAAATAATCCGATCAAATTATTTGAAAAACATTGGAAACTTATGATAGATGATATCATGCATAAAATTAAAACCTTATTCAATAATCCAAATTTTTAAATACCCGAAATTGAATTATACAATTTTGTACTATATGAACTAGAAAAATCATTAAATATAAATTCATCAACTTTAACACATTTCAATTTACCACTTCCGACTGGATCATTAATAGAAGATTTAAATAATAAACTATTACGAGAAGAACTAAATTATGACACAAATGAATTAAAACATCAAAATATTGTATTAGTACAAAACTTGAATAATGAACAAAGATTTATTTACGAAGAAATTTAAAAATCACTCAATCATAGAAAAGACAATATATGTTTCATCTATGGTCATGGTGGAACCGGAAAAACATATCTATGGAATACAATCATCACAAAAATTAGATCAAATAATGAAATAATTCTCGATGTTGCATCTTCTGGAATAGCATCGCTATTATTACCTAAGGGAAGAACCGCCCATTCCAGATTCCGAATACCATTATCAATAGATAAATTTTCCACCTGTCACATCAAAAAAGGAATGCAATTAGTAAAATTAATTGAAAAAATATCACTTATACGTAATTCCTACTGGAACAAAAGAAACCATAATTGATGCAACAATAAATAATTCTTACCTATGGCCATATTTCAGAGTACTAACATTAACAGAAAATATGCGCTTAAAACGCTATAACATTACTGAAGCAGAAAAAAAAAGAAATCATAAAATTTTCAAACTGGATATTAAACATAGAAAATTGCACTGCTAAAGGAATAAAAGACCCAAAAAATGAAGATGCTACTTGGATAAAAATACCAAAAAAATATATAGTACATTATGAATAAGATCCAATTGAAAAAATTTCATCATTAATCTATGATAACTTTAATTATTACTTTAATGATATCGAATATTTAAAACAACGTGCAATAGTAACGCCCAAAAATAAAACAGCTGACGATATTAATAATCATATGCTATCTTAGTACCAACTGAATTAAAAACTTACTACAGTTATGACACAATTATGTCGTCATCAGAAAACATAGATGAACTTAATCTTTTATATCTTGAAGAATTTTTACACACCTTAAATTTCAACAGTATACCACCACATGAATTAAATCTTAAAGTTGGAACACCAATCATGTTATTAAGAAATCTAAATCAATCCATTGGATTATGCAATGGAACAAGACTTATTATAACACAACTAACAAATAAAATTATAGAAGGACAAATAATAAACTCAAATAATATTAATGAAAAAGTTTATATTCCAAGAATAGAAATGACTATACATGAATCTAAATGGCCATTTATATTCAAAAGACGATAATTTCCTGTAAAAATTTGTTATGCAATGACAATAAACAAAAGCCAAGGACAATCGTTAAATAAAGTAGGATTATACTTGGAAAACGAAATTTTTACCCATGGCTAACTATATGTTGCTTTATCAAGAGCAACAACCCCAAAAGGATTACATATACTAATACACAATTGGATCAATAAATATCCAAATCACATTAAAAATGTAGTCTACAGAGAAATTGTACAAAATATTACACAAGAATATAGATCATAACATAAAAATATGTATAATACCGAATTCTTTACAGTATTAAAACACCTCTTTCACTATAATTCACATACCGATACAATAAAGTAATTTATTCATATACTAAACATTTATTCATTACTTTTGACAATCAGGAAAAATGACTACACCTATTCATGCATTAAAACCAAATAAAGTGTACATCACTATCATAGTAAGAATCTCCATATTATGAACAAACAACGACCTTACTACAAGACATTTAATAAATCTTGACTACATCTTAATTGACAAAGAGGTAACAACTTTTATAAATACTAAATTACATATTATTTGATACAATACTAAACATTGTAATATAACTAACTTTTTAATCTTTCCTATCTACAACATTAGGCAATACAAGAATCGATACGGACATGAGATTCAGATATCATTTCTCAAAAAATAGAACAGGACAAGATATATGATATAGGTAATTTATTTGTTGCCTAAAATAAACCAACATATTAGTACATCAAAATTATTATTAATACATCAACATATTTATAACACTTTTTATTTACTGAATAACAGATGTTGTTAAAGTCACCAAAAGTATCCAAGCAATTGAGAAGAAGATGACAAAGCGATCTAGAAAACGACCAAAAACTAGATAATATCACTATTTCTAAATTCTTTATTTTAACTTTCCTAATAATTATACTAATTTTTTCAAAAAATTTTATTTTGCAACTACAGCTCCAAAGAACCATAAAAAAATGTAATATAATGTACAAACCTTTTACTAGACCTTTAAATATATATATATATATATATGTGTGTGTGTATGTATGTGTGTATAAATCATTTTAGTAGACCTTTAAACAAATATATATAATTTATGTACATATAAATTAATATTGTAATGTAACTCCCGATTTCCTCTATAATATAATAATCTTTCTCGCAACAACGCGCGGGCAAAAAAACTAGTATATACTAAAGGAGGTAAAAAGTTACTGTTCTTTGAACAGTAATTTTCCAATTTTACCTCTTATTCTTTCTGTTGAATAATTTTTCATACCATCTGTGTCCTTTTAGGTGTTTTCACCATTTTATTCTCAGTTTTATTTTGCTTTTGTGTTTTTTTTTCTAAGCATTTTGGTCATTTACTTTGGTCCTTTTTCTTTTACAGTTCCCAAACCTTTGCTATTCCTTTCCCTGGAGCTTTCATTTCTTTTGGGCATTTTTTTTTTGTCCTTTTTCTTCCCTCTCTTCCTTTCGGTGAAGCTTCTGGGGCTTCATTTCATTAATATATCTTGGTGACGAGGAAAAAAAAAAGAAACCTGAACCAACTCTTTCACATATAACTATTATTACCCTCTTCCTGTTTTCTTCCATTGGTTGATGTTCCAGTTTAGTCATATTATGTACAAATTCTTTAATAATTTCGTTGGCAACCAAAATTTTGTTAAGTCATATTTGAGTTAATATTGATATACCTTAGTAGCGAGGAAAAAAAAAAATACCTGAACCAATTCTTTCACATACAATTGTTGTTTTTGGATGAAATTGTTTGTAATTGTGTTGGTATTCTTTATTGGTGATTATAGTGTATTTATTTATAATTCATATGATATATGAAAATGTCTTTTATAAGTGATTTGGCTCTTCTTTATATATTTGTGGTGTTTTATTAAGTCATTTAGCTTGAATTCATTGTCATTTGTATAATAACTTTTTTTTAACCACACAACTTATTACTATCTAACTGATTTATATTTTAGATTTTTTCAACTTTATTTATTGACTTACTATCTAATTATTTTGTCTTTCTAATTTGTATTTTGGGTTTTTCTGAACTGTTTAAATACCTTTTCTATACATTTTTTATTATGTATCATATTTTTTAACACTTTTTAAATATCTTTTCTATATTTTGTTCACAATGTTAATTAAATTATTAAATATCCGTGCAATCGCACGGATATTCTACTAGTAATTACTAAATTAGACACACAAAAAAACCATGTCAAAATGGCTCCTTTCTATTTTTATTTTTTTTATTATTATTATTTTGTTTTTATTGAATTTTGTGAAGTTATTTTCTTTCTTTTGTCTTCTCCCTCTGTTTTAGATAAATTTGTTGCTTAAAATATTCATTAAAACGTTGAGAGTTCCTGATTTTCTTATTTTGTGACGAGTAAATAGTAACAATTTACAGTAAGAAGTTCAAAAACCCTAGAAAAAAGGCATAAATTCAGCTATATATGCAAAATAAGTGGACAAAGGTTCATATAATAAGTGGAGTGGTGATGATACAACATAATTGTGGACAGTATATGAGCATTCCAATATGTCAGAATCATCGAGTGCAATCACTTTAATAACTCAGTTAAGAACTAATTCTCACCTGGAACTAAACACACCAAACTAACTACAGCTTTACAGAAGACAACACAAATGCCTCAGCTTCTTAGCATGGAGCACACTCGTTATAGCTCCAGCACAATTGTACTGGGCAGTACAACTAAGAAAGTATATAGAATCCGTTTCGCCATGACTAACTGTTTAAAAGAGATCCGGAAAGTTGCCATAACAAACTCTTCTTGCCAGTATGTTATACGTCGAATCAAAAAGGTCCGACCAGCAACTACTTTCTTGAATCCCCACGGAAGCTGTCAATGAGCTTTTGCAAGGGTCCGGATAGATACCCCGTGTAACAATTTGACAAAGCCAAGGAAGCTCAGCTTTCCATCAGTGTGCCTGATCCAATCGTGAAGAACAGCATGAACAGGGACAGATGGGCCGACACCGAGTTCCTGCAACAATATTTATAAAATGCATTTCAGTCGTTTCTCCTTGAATTGGTTACTAGGTTCTTCCTCAGTGTTCCTTTGAATACTAATTGGTATTGAAAACTAAAAAGGCAAACCAAAGATGAAAGTTCGAGTAATGAAGCATAATACTATAATAGAAACAAGAAGAGACTAAAAGGCCTGCAGGCTTCCATAGCACGCACATACCGAAGCAAGTTCCTCAATGACAATAGCCCTGTTTCCTTCCTTTTCAAATAATTCATATGCACAACGAGCATGTTGCTCCCATCGATCAAGAGCCTCAAGCTGATGGACGCTCAATGTCGCCGCACAGAACTCCTCAAAATCCATCCTTCTGTATTGCAATGCATTGAACTGCCATAGAAGATGGCTAATAAATGTACAGACAAGATTAAATGCATTTGAAATAGCACAAATTGGCACACCAATGTGCACACAGTCAAAGCATACTCACCGATGCTAGAATGTCAAGGACATGTGACTCCTTCATTGCATCAGTTGCATTTTTCATCAGGACCTGCAACGTTCAAGTTTAGAAGCCTGACTAACCTGAAATCCTGCAAGAAATAAGAAAGACATTCTGGAAGAAACCAACCGCTTTAATATTTTCTAGGCTTATTGTGCCATTTTTGCTTGGTTCCAATAGTGCAAACTGCTCCTTCATATAATGGAGCTCATCTACAGTCAATGTTTTAGACAGGGCCTGTCACATTACATAATAAAACAAGAATTGTTAAAAGACGGGAAAAAAAAGCATCAATTATTGTAATTAGCTTAGAAAATATTAAAGTGGTTAGTTTATATGTACCCTTAAAGCAGCTTTCCGAAGAGATGATGAACGCATGTAAGCCTTCAGGAGTTTGAATATTAGTATATCCAAAGGAACTTTAACATCATTATTATTTTTCAGCCACGGGTGACCTGCGATAGAAATTTGTGAGTACAGCTAACTAGAGGAAATGACTAAACCAAGCCAACCGCTGTTTTCCAGAAGACAAGGAACGCACATAGGGCTTGAGCAGCACTCATTCTTTTTCGTGGGTCCTTAATCAATAGGCGCTTGACAAAGTCTTTCGCCTCAGCAGATAGTGAGGGCCAAGGTGGTTCATCGAAACCTGGATCAGCTTTGAGCACAGTACGAAATATCCCAGATTCAGTTCGGGCCCAAAATGGCCTGCTGCCACACAAGAGAATATATGCAATTACACCTATACTCCAAACATCAGCCTCGGTGCTGTAGGCTCGATGTAAAACTTCAGGAGCTACATAATAAGCACTGCCAACAATGTCGTTAAGCTTTTCATCTGTGAAGCAATTGAATCATGTTACACCACTAAACATCATAGAGAAATTAAACTAGCATGGACTATACTAATAATGTATCAAGTAAGTGTTCACAAACCTGGTTTGACAAAATCTGACAAGCCAAAGTCTATGGCCTTCAATTCGGAATTTTCATCCTTTGACGTAAATAGAAAATTCTGAAGCAGCAATCAACTACACTTAGACAACTATACGTAAATGAAATCATACTAAAGTTGCAAATGGACTAGAAAGAAAAGCACAATTGATATTTGATGCAACATTGCTAGATGGTTTAATAAGAAGAATCAAATGGCCACGTGTTATTTTACTTATTCTGGATAATGCATCCCCAACCCTCAGAATGACTTTCAATCAATCTTGAGTTCAACAATGGAAACAAAGAAATACAAAGTGAGAACGTAACGAACCTCAGGTTTAAGATCCCGATGGACCACACCCTGAAGGTGAAAAAATGTGACAACGTTTAATATCTGTGTCAAAACTTTCCTTGCATCATCCTCCGAATATTTTCCACCCCTGCACAAAATAAACAGAATATACGTTTTTAGGATACTGTTTGCCAAGTCCAACAGTTCTTTTTTCCATTAAAAATCCATGGCATTTTCTTCTACTCTACCAAGAGAAATGAAAATGCAACAGGTCCAAATAACCTCCATCAAAAAGAAGCAAGAAAATTTTTGTAAGGAAAAAAAAAAGTACCTTGAGAGTATCCTATCTAACAGCTCCCCTCCTTCACATAACCTGAAAGACATGAACATTTTCCCATATGATTATTGCATGTTATCAATTGACATCAACAGGCACAAAATTCGAAAGAAAATGCCACAATTCGAGCTTACTCCATTACTATGTAGACATTATCCTGGTCTTCATATGCATCGTAAAATTGTATTAGATTACCATGACCCGTCAAAGCTCTCAATATCTTTACTTCCCTCCTCACGTCCTCAATGGCAATGGCAGTGGTCATCTGACAGCAAAATTCCATAAATAAGCCACCACCAACACACCACAATTCACAAATTGGAGCAATTTAATAAATATCCTTTTAACCCCAGCATCTTCTTCAAAATCCATCGCATACGAATTTTTCAGCGTAGTACATAAAAAAAGGATCATTCTCCGAAAATCTAAATTATACTAACACCAACAAGCATGAACAAATCAAATGTAGATTTCAATTTCATCACAATTATCTTGAAAAGCTCATAATTTTCAATAAAATTAGTGATTAATCAAAACAATCCGATACCGAAAATCTCGTTTTCGAAAAAAAAAATGTCCATTCTAGCTTCGGATCTAGCTCAGAAACATGAAAAGATCAACCAGAAATTTTACAATTTCATAAAAAAATGGCTCGTCCTTAATTCAATTTCAAAGCGAAGAATTTGAGCTGAGAATTTCACACCTTCGCTTTCGGAATCACTTTAACCGCCACCTGTTCCCCCTTGAGCTCGCCCTTCTTGAGCCTCGCAGCGCAAGTGTAGCCAAAATGTCCCCTCCCGACCTCCTCTCCCATCTCATACTTGTTCCCGAAATGCTTAGAGAACCCGAAGCTCTTATCCAGCGTCGCCCCCGGCTCGCCTTCGCTCCCCTCCGGTATCGCCGCCTCGTTCGGCTTCACCGAGCCGTGTCGCCTCGCCAGCACCGCCTTCAGGTGCTTCGCAGGAGACGGCGGCGGGAACGGCCGCCTGAAAAACCGCTTCGGAGTCGAGATCGAGCTCGCATTCGCCGGAGATCTCGCCGGAGACTTCTTCCCGAACAGGTAGTGAGCCGGACTGGGACTGTAGAACGAGAAGAACGGGGATTTCTTCCCGTTCTGCGACTCTGCCGATCGGACGTCGCCATTGGCGGAGGCGGCATTATCCGAGACTGGGATATGACTAGCCGGGACAGGGTCGTTCCCGTTCGCCGGCTGGGGATCAGAAAGGACAGAGTTTTGGGAAGGTTTTGAAACGCAGAGACCCATTAGAGTGAAAAAAACCTCCCCAAACAGAGAGAGTTTGGGGGTTTTAATCGCCTAATCCCAGGTCAGAACATTATTCCGAATTCGGATAATGGATTTTGAAAATTCTAGACTTTTTTCTTTGCTCAATTTAGTTCAAAGGGATTTGAATTTTTATTTGGAAATGAATTTATGGGAAATAATAATAGTAGAGAAAAGTAGAAGAAACTTTTTTTTTTTTTTTTTTTGGGTCCCCGGCAAACGAAAGCGTTTGAGAATGATGGTGGTGGGGGATGAACAGGATCCAAACAGAAAATGATAAAAAGGAAACGACGACGCGTTCACTTTTTTATCTTTTTTATTAAATATTTTATTTATTGTACGATTTGATGTAATAACTTTCGGATTACGTTAAATTACATATTGGTAATAGTGATTATAATTTTAAAAGGAAAAAAGAAAGAAGAGGAAATTTGTATTGGATTGGAGGCAGGCACGAGAAGCTAGTGGGCCCAGGAGTGTCCCAGTACACGTGGCGTTCATGTGGATGAGTTGGTGTGCTTTTTGTTTTTTGTTTTTTTTGCTAATCAAATGAGTTGGTGTACTTACTGTACGTTTACTTATTTGAATGAGAATGTAAAATTAAAGTCAATCTCATATTTATTTATTATTTTTTATTTTAAAATATAAGTAAGATTAATGGATCTCATTTAAATTTAAGATTAAAAAATGAGATTGATACTCTCATATTTTTTTTAAGATTCAGACTCTCATTCTTAATATTAATATTAATTTACTATCATATCATTATTTTACTTATAAATACACAATTAAAAATAAAATTCAGAAAATAATAAATGTAACATATATTTATTATTTTATTTACCTAATATTATAATATTAGCATAATTATTGTTAACTTTAATATAATAAATATGTACTTTATTTTTTAATAAATTAATAATATATTTTATTTTTTAACACTATTTTTTATTTTTATTTATTTTATTTAAATTTTTAAATTTTTTTTTATATTTTAAATAGTTGTACAATTTATATTTATTATTTTAGTACTTAATTATTACACTAAATATTTTAATTATATTTAATTTCAATATAATAAGTACACAATATATTTTTTAAATTAAAAATATCAAATTGATTTAAATGATATATTAATACTTTTGCACTTTTTTATTCTGATTTATAGTGTAAGTAAACGTATGAATGAGATTTAAAATGACTTCAATTTCGAATCTTATCACTAAGTAAACAGCTTGTTCTGACTCCAATTCCTCACTCTAAATCCTACCCATTTCGAATCATACCCACTTCAATTCATGCTCATTACGCATAGAAAAACATGCCATTAATCTAATTGATTTAGTTTTGGCTCGAGTTTTGTGCCTTAATTAAAGCCATCTGGGCGGGTACACATAATAGAATGGTAATACTCACGATAATTTTTTTTTTTTTTTTTACACCTGTTAGTCTGTTGTTTTTACAAACAGCATGGGTAGTGCTCGGTACAATTTCCTAATAGAAAGTCAATCTTCTATGAAACTCGTGTGAAACTTAAAAATGAAATTCACTTTATATTAATGATGACTTAATATTAATAGTGACTTAACACTGGTGATACTTGTGAGTATTTTTCTATTTTTACACTCTGATTTTTTTATATCTTTTTAAATAAAAAGGCTTTCATTATCAACCAAATAATCACTTTGTGCAAGAGAGCATAAAAATAGGGGTAAACTTGTATATTTGTAACAATGTGTCACCATAATTTCAGTGATTAGTTTCATAAATGCTTGCTGAATCATGTGCCTTAGATCAACGCAACCAGGAGTTTTGAAAATAGCTTATTTCAGTCTATGAACAATATAAACTAGTTAAAACCATTGTCGTTTATAACACTAACAAAATAATGACTTGTTACTACTAGATATAATTTCATTAAAAAAATTAGAAGACAAGTTTACATAAAATTAATAATTCATGATGGGGTGAGAATTATGACAAAATCTGATTCCAAATCACGACGGGATGAGAATAAGAAAAGCACTCGCCTTTCCGTCCCAATATTCATATCTTATATGCTTTATATTGATAAATTATATATAATATTAATTTTTTAAATATAATTAGCCTTTTGTTACTTTATTATTAAGATTTGGTTTGCATATACTTTTAGAATTTAGTTTATTTTGTAAAATCGTTGATTTTGATTTAAATTTATAATGAGTTTCTACCTTATTTTTGTTGCAAATTGCTATAATTTTTAAATGCGTATTTATACGACTCTAATAAGGCTCTGTTCATCTTTAAGCGGCGGGAATAGACGAGGGAACCGCAAAATCATTACCAGGCCCTACTCCACCCCGTTGACTCAATCGTATGTTTGTGTGATTGTGTCTAGGTTTTGAGTTAAGAATTAAATCACCCCCTAAAATGATAGGGACGAAGCTAGCCAATGCACAGGAGGCTGCAGCCCCCGGGCCCAGCTAGCTTCTTTAATACTTCTTTAAAATTTACTATTTTGTCGTATTTTTTTCTTGTTTAACCCCTTAAAATTTTTCATTTCTAAGTTTTATACTGAATTTTTATAAATTTTTATTTATACCCTTAAGTTTGGTAAAAAAGTTTATATTATTTTGCCACTTTAAAAAATTTCTAATTCTATATTTTATGTAGAACATTTTAGAAAATTACACAATAAATTTTTACTTTCTTAATTTTTAATTCTAATATTACACAATAAATTTAATTTAAGATTTTAGTTTAATTCAAGCTCCCCTGAAAAATTTTCTTGACTTCGTCACTATAAGCACAGTTCCTATTATTTCTAAATAAGATCTAAGTTTTAGTATGATGTTTATTACGAAAATAAATTAAAAAAAAAGTCTCTTGTTTATTAAGGCTCTTTTTATTTGGACATAGGTTTTTACATTGCATTAATGTCTTATTCGTTTTGCCGAATTTAATTAAAAATTTGAGTTAAAAAATAAATTCATGTAAAAAAAAAATATTATAGTAAAAAAAATTTATTTATTTATTATTATTTTTTTTCAGGGAACGTTTTTGTGGGCAAAGGGGTCTGAAACGCGTGGAATGTAAAATCATGACCATCTTATTCACACGTCCCTTCCCAAACATTGGACAAATATTATTTTTCTCCTCCTGTTTTTCTAATAAAAAGATTCTATTGTATCAAACTACGAAGCATATGCTTGTGGACAGAGTATGCTTATGTATAACAAAGTTAGGTTTTGTTCACTTTGCAGATTTAAGTTTTTAATTTGAGTTAAGATGTGATATTTTTTTAAAATTTTTTACTGTAGCAGAAAAAGTTAGATGTGACATTTTTTGAGAACTTTTTACTGTATAAATTTAAAACTGAAAACTCAAATCGGTAAAATAAACGATACTTTAATAAGTAATAAATACAAATTATTAGTTAACTAAAATCATTGTCGTACATGCTCAGACTTGTGTGGGATTTGGAAAACAACTGCTGTTTTTTTGTCCCTTTTTTTTTTTCTCGAGTGCTCATGTCATCATCAGTTATCTCTTTGTCCATTATCGTGGGAATTGATCCTTTACCATTTACCGCATAATATTTTCAGGCAGTACTAATTTAAATAAATAATTTAGGAAAAGTTTTTTTGTTTTTTTAAATAAAAAATAGAAAACACGGAGTAAAATTACGTTCGGTGATTCCATTTCTATTCTATTTCAAGAAGCATTTTTTTTTTTTCCTCCTTGTTCTATAATAATATTATGACATGATAGTACATGCATAAGTATTGCAAAATATTGTGAAATTATGAACATGTCAAATATGATCAGAAGTATATCTTAGCTCGACAAATGGCGCCACATCCAAGCCTAACCATGTTAATGGTTAGGGAAAAACTAAATGAATCCTTCGTATTTAAAATTGATATAAACTTAATATGGATGCAGCTATTTATACTTACGATAAGTTATGGAAATAAAATTTTTTATAAGGATTCTATTAGTTTTATTATGGCAACATTGGCCAAAAAGTTCGATGGTGCTTTTTTCTGCTCATAAAAATGAAGCCAAAGCTCTTGTTTTAAGTCTAGTTTTGGCAAGAGATGTGGGATTAAATCTCAACTTGGTAGAGTTAAAGGCATAGATAGATATCTTGTTTATGTCTTAACTTTTAAGGGTTGAGATTTGTCATCCACTTCTTATGATCTTATGATAAATGACGAGCTCATTTAGTTGGAGGACTCTCCTCCACTGATAGAAGTTGTCATCTCACTGTTTTTTTTTTTTTGTTGCATTGTAGTAGGTCTTTGTGCTTTTAGTCTCTTGATATCTATCGATCAGAGTTATCCTCTGATTATATAATGTAATTAAAAGAGTTATTTATGTACTCGAATGATTATCTATTTTTTTGATTTTCTCTAGTTAGAATGCGGTACACGTATTATCCCCTTAAGCATTTCAATCAAACTTAGAACAAAACATAATAACTTACTAATCAAATGATTAAAAGATAATAACTTACTAGAACAAAAATATTGTTACTTCAGGTGTATACAACTTAGGAACTTGCTCTCAACAAAAAGCAAAGGAGCTTAATTAGTGGGGGACCAATAGGAGTGGCCCAAGTCACATGAAATTGTGGGCAACTAATCAATGATTCGCACAGAGGTTCGCGAGAATTACTTCCTCCCTTTCTTTAATGCGTAGAACCGAATCATTTGGCCATGTACATTAAATTTTTAGTCTCTACTTCTTTATTTTTTGAACTTATTTTTAATCTTTACTTCTGTTTACAAACGGAATAGAGAATATTTCTAATTGAATATTTGAATTCTTTCGCGTACCTTTAGACTTGACACCAGAAAAGGACCAATTTTCAATGGTCATTCAAGAAATGTTGATCAAGCAAAATTAGTAACGCCAAAATATATAGATAAATAAATAACAAAGAAATGGGCAAGTTATGACGCACCTTATCCTATTATAGGGAAATTTCTTGGCTTCGACACACACGTATTTGACGTTCCCTGTTTTTTTATTTTTTTTATTAAGAAAAAACGTATTTGATGATATAACATTTTTATTGTTTTTCTTTTTAAAAAAAAAAAATTTGCTATTAGTAAAATTATTCACATGTATAGGTGAGCCGGTGGAAGATTT